CCTTGTGTTAGAAATGTCCCGCGGGACTGAGTTAGTGGTCGAGTCGTTTTTGGTAATTGACACCCGTCGCATTAGTTTCAATTCATATGTTACCATTCATAGTGAAGTAGCCCTCTTTTTGATGTCTGAGTGCCTTATTCTATCTATCAAAGTCCTTCTTTGTCTATAGCTCGGGTCAGTCCCCCATGGTCTGCTTTGATTTTCTCGAACAGTGCCGGTCCGCATCAGGGACTCTCGTGCGAGCCATACAACGTTCCCAGGCAGGAACTGCTCCTTTCCTTGAGCTCCCTATTTAGTTCCTCCCATCCCAGGCGTTGATCTCGCAACGGCCCTCCAGCATGTCCTCATATCGCGTCCGTCACCACAGCTGCGCATCCCCAGATAGATAGATTGTTGCCATTGTGACTTGGTCGTCAAAAGGGGCACGAACATAAAGTACTGTTCCATATCCCAAAAGTCTTCGATCCTTAGCATCTCGGGTGCCAACGAATGCCTTTGGTTTCGCTTGATTCGAACCATCTCCGTCGAGCCACTGCTTACGGCCTTCTGTAGTATGGGGACCTCGCCCCTACTCTCTAAAGCTTGCCACCCCTATAAGGTCACACAAGAAGGCTATTCGACCGACAAAACGTAGGAATTAGTGCGTGCTGAAAAATGGACTTTTCTTTCTAAGTGAAGGGCAGGAGAAAGAATCTTGCATCTATCTCGAGTTGCTCCCTTGAGCCCCGCTCAGGAGAATAGAAAGATTACCTGCTTTCTTCGAGTGAAAGTGTCTTTCTTCGGAAAATTCTTCTTCGATGAAATCAATCCAGCTCTTAGGCGAGCCCATAGGAGAAGACTTGAAAGCATCGGTACTCCAAATAGAAGGAGTTGGCTATGAGTTGCTTCAGGAACTCAATGAATTTCCTAGCTCCAAACCAAAGGCACGAGAGTTGATCGGGGAATCGAAAATGCTTCTTTGATTGTTTAGGAAGAAAGCGTAGCAGGGGAAGGGGATAGCACCGGTCTTTACTCTGACACTATTCTTCTTCGAGTAGATGTCGGCATTTCCGCTGTTAAAGAGACATCTCAATAAAAGAAGGGTTTCCTTTAGGGGCGCAGTTTTCATCCAACTATAAATCTCGTAAGAGAAGAAAGCAACTTTACTTCACCGAAAGGGCAGGTCTTTCTTTTTATTGCTGATCTTATCAAGTACGGGATTTGCTTCTATAAGCCACCGCCCAATAGAGCAAGGCCATGTGTAGATCGAAAAGGTCTTGGTCTTAGCTGATGGTGTAGTAAGACGACAAGGAATACAAGCACGCAGTACTTAGTGAAGTTGAAGGGATTGCCAGCATAAAAAGTAGTTTCACCGGCTTTGAGTTAGGATCGGAGTTGGGTGAGGGATAAGAGACAATGGTAATTGAGAAAGAAATTCTGGGTCGGAAAAAAATCCATAGCCCGTTTACCTCGAACCAGTGGACCCGGGTAGAAGGCATTGGGGGTGCAGCGGCATCAGATGCGAAGATATAGGTAACGAAATAAGTCAAGATGGAGAAAGTCGGTTGATTCATCAATATGGGACCATCCCATACCATAGGAAGTTGCTTCTTGGAATGCCGTCGTTCAAGCACAGGCTGACCACTGATTCAATCTTCAAACCAAAAAAAAGCCAGATCTTGCAAAACAACCACGCAACGTCCGGATCTGCAAGAATGGGCTATGTAGATGAGGGGATCAGCGCTATGATCGCTTTGAGCTATGCTCGAAGTGCAACATGTATGCTTACGTGCGAGTTGCTATTCGGCCGTAGATCGAGTTCTGGGCTCGAACTACCCGAGTGGTATTTCGTAATGTAAAGCTAGCCTCCAGGCACTATATTTCGCATTTTTTCATTTAGGATTTCGCTCTCAACGAGCGCATGTTGCATCTCCGTCTCTCCGCAAGCTACGCCTTTATGAGCTGAGCTCACTTTTAAGTATTCTTCAATCGTACAATACATAAGGGCGCTTCGGAGTTACGACGCTGAGACGCGTCAAAGGCATACCGGAGCGCTCACGAAGCGATGCGAGCTATCATAGAACCGGGCCACGGTCTTCTTCTTCCGAATCCTATCAATCCTTTCCTGGATTAGGAAAGGCTAAAGGCTGCTACCTTCACCTTAGAGTCCCTCCATGATTACTAAAACACTCCAGAACGGCTCCCTCTTTTCAGTCTATCAGTCAAACAAGACTAAAGACTGCACACTAACATAATATACGGTAAATTTATATACCTTCGGGAATGGATCGAAAGTCACCAAGTTTGGAGACAGACATGTGGTCAGAAGAGCCTTTCACCCTTAGGCATTCATTCGGACTAAGATCGTCATCGTACCCTCAAGGCAAGCTCCTGAAGTAGAAGTGTGAGGCAAGCCGGCAGGCTTGGCCGGTGATCAACTACGAAAAAAGTGGTTTTGTTGAGGGCGGAATAAGGCACGCAGAAGACTTCGGAGTCGGAGCCGACCACAAGCAACCGGCCATAAATTGGTCAGCCCAATCTAGAGGCGGGGTGGGCGACCTCATCGTCTGCGCCCTCCGCCTTTTTTGAAAGAACTGAGGAGCTTCTGCTGGATAGTGTAAAACAAAGAAAAGGAGCTCTAGGGGATGGCCAAAAAGTTTCCGACGTTTGGATGTTGCAGTCGTGTTCGACTGCTTGCCTTTTTTTTATTTCTCTGGTATGAAACAAATAGCAGTCCTGGTCTATAAGTAGAAAGGCTCAAGGAAATGCGAAGTATAGAGAGTATAAGATAAGCTAAGATCTAGACTCACAGATACCAACGAGCGGGATTAGCTACCAAGCGGGGGAGCTTCAGGAGACTGATAGATGATAGGTAGGTGGGTGGGAAATCAAGAGAAGTGACAAATGATACTCTTAATGGATTTGTCCATTTTCATCCGGGGCAAGAGCCAGCCCATTCTTATAGCATCCAAGGAAAGAAAAATGCCCATGGCAGCTCTTAAAAAGATAGGAGAGGAGTGTGAGTCGAGAAGCAACTCATTTATAAGTTAAAAAAGTTTTAATAAAGGGCGATTTCCGGAAGAGTGGATTAGCCTCGAATATCTTGATCCACTAGAAAGAGAATTACCAGATACGAATACAAATACAGTTGGAGATCAATAAGCCAAAAGCTTTAAGAAAGCTATTGTAAGGTCAGATTACAGGAAGAACACAGGTCAGTCTTCTGAAGAAAGTGCCCCTCCCGGGGCGAAAGTGGCTTTGTATTAAACTTTAGATTAAGACTTGTCTTGCCTTTCTAAATTCAAGCATGTCTGTTATGCTAGTTCATCTATAGAACGTCAAGACCTTGTCTTCCGTAAGCGTTATACCCGAAAGAGCCGAGCAAGTGGATGAAGGTTGCTTTTCTAGTCCACTGAAATCGCTTCTATAGGTCATTTCAAGCCATGTTTTCGGCCCTTCCTTCGCTTATAGGTGGCTTCGCTATCGCTCATGACTTGTATTGTAGTCGTAGTAGTCGAGTCGGCCTGCCTCCTTCATTCTAAAAAGAGTAGCTTCCGCGTTGCTTACAGACTAGAAGCTTCGCTTCCCCCCCCCTTTGAAAACCGCTACTGGCCTGCTAACCAGGATCGTAAAGGTTCACCTGACTATCTCTGAATCAGTATCTTTCTTTTCCGGTCTTCTCTAAGATAAGAGGAATATTCAATCCTCTCTAGAAGATAGGGAGCAGAGTCTTGTGTCTTTCACTTATGTTAAGCGCTTGACTGAATAGCTTTACCTTAATAGCATAGCAAGCCGGCCTATGGATCTAGGTGAACCGGGAGGGCGGAGTCGGAAGGGGAATGCCTGGGGAAGAATTAGCCCCAGGGTTTTGATAAGGACTGAGCGATGGGAGAGGAGAAAGAGGGACGACCGGGCCGGGCCAGGATGGATGGTAGTGGGAAAGGAGGCATAGCCAAGCAAGACAACAATGTTTTATTTATCTATAGGGTGACGGAGAATTGTAGGGGATTTTCTCTAGGCAGATAGAGAAGGAAGGCTGGAATGCCAACAGGCGTCTATTATGGAATTCACCCCACCCCTGACTCATTGTACTAGTTACTGCTATAGCTAGCGCTAGTGCTGTATTGGTGTATTGCTAGTGAACTTACAGAACGAGCTGTAAAGGTAGAAAAAAACAGATCAATCAAGAGATAGTGGTTCGGCCAAACATCTATCTTTTTCCTAAGTAAGGACTAGGCTGTCGAGTAAGGATTGGCCGAGGGGGAAGGAGCAAAGTAAACCAATAGCAGTAGATGACGGAGCGTAACGGGAACTCTCCCATAGGGATCCGAGTTCCGCACTTCTTCTAAGTGACGGAGCGTGTTGAGACGGAACTAAGAAGTCTTATAGGTACACCCCAACCCCAAAATCGGATCGGGAGTCAGGCGCAAAAGACCAAGAGTGACAAATGCGTACGGGAGCAGAAAGCGATGGGTAAGAGTTCCTACCCGAGTCACGAAAGCAAGAAAGAGTCCAATCCCGAATGTTCAGCCCAAAGGCAATGAATGGGGAAAGCGCAGCCTAATCTGACTGGCAAGCTGTTCTGAGACTAATCTCACTTCCTAGCCCGGGAAAATCTCTCTTATATATGCTATTTTACGATTAGCCTCTTCCTCTCATCTCTGGGCTGCTCTTAGGCTAAGATTGAGTTGAATCCGCTTCTCTTCCGTATTCCTCAGCTCGACTTTCTGTTGCCGAAGCTGTCTTTCAGCCCTTTCTTTCAGGCTTCCTTGAGTCAGCTCGGTAGCTAGTCTAGTCAAATACCCCTTATTCTCTTCCCTTAATGGGGGTTGCTCCTTCTTCTCGTCCACTCGGGAATGAAGCCTTCCCTTTCGCTACAAACCTGTTAAATGGGGCTAAAAAATCAAATAAATATAGGTGGCAGGGTCAGACTTTGAGAAAGAGTCCACTGCTGTCCAGTCATAGTCAGTAGGAGCAGCTCTGGCTGAGCTCGATCCAATTTCCAAATCTCACTCGGGCCTTGTAGTACCTCGCTATCCTCTGTTGGTAAGTAGCCATTCTGAACTGAGCTTGCTTTCTTAACTCTTAAATTAGGTCGAAGTGGGTCTCCTTCAAGTCTTCTTCTTCTCGTTCGTGTCTTCAGTCACTGAACTGAAACATCAGTAATTCTAGTCTCTTGTACCGGTGGCTCACTTTTTCTAAGTAATGGGGAAGAGTCTGATTCAAAACTGTCTG